ATTATCACAATAATACCATTTCACAATGTTTGATTTTATCATGAGGTGAAATCCGATACTGCCACAGTCCTAATAAAATAGATTGAAACTAATTTAAGCACTTCCTATGTACATAATCCTCAAATACCAAAGTAAGTCGGCTATTGTGTGAAATTCAGGGGCTTTCATTTTTTCATTTTTTACACACTGATGAGCTGAAGCAGAGAGACCATGACATATGTGATGTGGGACTTTGCAGTGTAAATAAAATTGTTTTAGTCCCAGCCTCGGTGCTGCCTGTCATTTGTAGATTATATCTGATTGTGCTGTTAGACACTGTCACTGTCAATCTGCTGCTGCTCTCAGTTTTTCTACCATATTGACAGCTGATCTGAGGTCCTCTCATTCAGAGCACTTCGACTGAGCTGAGTATCACAGACGTGGCCAGAAAGATATGCGTCTGAAGTGACGCAGACTGTCACAGCTACTGGAGCAGACAGAGGAGCCTGAATCAGATTATTCCATTTTGATGTGTTTAGCTGCTACACAAGGGATTAAAGTAGGCCTGCATGAGTGGTTGACACACAGTCAGAAACGGAGGAAGGGTTGACGTATACTGCCACTCAAACCTTTTCTGAGTCTAAGTCCTCTGGAGAACGTGAAGGGAGGACAGAGAGGCTGAAGGGAAAAAAGATAAGAACTGATGACAGACAGAGATGGTGAGACTGTGACATTTAATTGTGTTGCTTTGCCTGTTTTCATGATTATAATGTTTCATTAGCAAGCAGCGTGATTGATTTACAGCTACAAATTTAAGGGTGAGTTACATTTATAGGGATCATTGAGGATGCGATGGCGTCAGTTATCTATTGAGCTTGTGTTTCATTCACTATGTAACTATTTCTATTGCTTTATAATGAAGTAGAACACCACAGTTGCAAAAATAATATATAAAAATGTGGGCTTTAAACCCCACTTCCCTGTTATCTGCGAGTTTTTCCATTCTGGCTTTGAGTGTGTCCTCTTGGATCAGTTATAACAGGTTTGGATGACATGTGGTATGACATATGGGTAATTTCGACCATACCTGTGCCCTCAGTTTGACACAGGAGCTTAAGACATAGGAAGGTCAGCAGCCTTTGCCAAGAGAGGAAACATTCACCCTTCGATAACTTCAGTTGGTGTATTAATGCCCACTAGGTATTACCAGGTTATTTCTGAATGAACCTGAGACTTTCTAACCAGGGTTTGGAGGATGTAGAGAGCTGAACCTTAAAGGCAGTGTATTAGTTCCTAACACTGGAGCTAATTTTATCCCATTTTTTCCACTGGACTCGGACCCTAGAGGTTTAAGTCTCCCTTTATTACCTCTTTCAGGGACAATTTGTATTTCACTCAACAGTAAATGCACATCCATCGGACTAGTTTTCTGCACTATCAGGCACCCTTAAGGTTATCCTTTTTCTACCCAAAGGGCAACCTGTAAACACGCTGTGGTGTTTTCTCCGGTAATTTGCCTGTTTTACCGAACCACATCTGAAAGCGCCTGTTTACTGTCTAACATGCTCCCATTTTGACCAAAGTGCACTGTTTGAGCATCACCGAGCCACAATTACCTTTCTTTATTCCAAACAGGAGGTCTAACAGAGGACAAGCTGTTCCCACCTCCCTCTATCAGTTTCTCTCGTCATACTAACCATTACTTATTCCCTTCAATCCCAAATGTTCACACAGTCTCAGCCCAGACCACTGGGACGATACTGCATGCGCATTTCCCTGACGGGAGCCATCTGCCTGCTTCTCCCCTCCTGTCATTAGCCCATCTCTGAGATGATTCCCAACACATATCATTGGCTGCAATCTGTCTGTCTGCCTTTACCGCCAACCAAACATCTGAACAGTCGAAATCTCTGATGGGTGGAGGGCTGGAAACTTCTCCTGCCCGTCTGCCTGGGTTGCTTTACCTCCCCCTCCCTCTTTTTATTCTACCTTTTCATTTTTTCCCATTTCCAGTTGAAACTTTTCGATCTTTGTTTCATCTTTTTAGTTGTCTTCTTTGATCCTGTTCTTATTTCTATCTCTCTGTGGCCTTCCCCACTTCTGTTTCCTCATTCCTCCTCCACGCCCCCTCCTCACCCGACACCCCCCACCTTCCCATTTTCATTCTCACTGGCAGGGTGCAGCCATATATTTGCCCGTTCCTGGGAGGTAGTGAGCGATGTGCGTGTCGCCCATGGTGGCAGAGGGAGCAGCAGAGCCTGACGTGAACATACGCTGTGAGAGCTCCCATTTATAACTCCTTCTCCTAATGAACAACGCACTGAAAGCAACACGGATGCAATTACCTTCAGGAACTCATTTTCATAAGGATAAACAAAATTGTTGCTCTTACCATAAAGTGGAAAAGTCAGAATGGATGCTAATGGGCTCCTGGCAAAATATTCTAGGAAATTGAACTTTCATGCTAAAGAGGCAACTCTTGGACCGCAGAGCAGTTTCAAGTCACCGGCTCCAAGCCTGGCAACCTGAGGCCGGGGGAGTCACAGCCAGTTTCGCCATCTGCATCTCTGACCCCAAGTTGTGTGTCAGCGGGTAGGTTTTTATCAGCGTCAGTTTCTCCACTATCACTGCCATGTTACCTCCACTGCGATGACTTACACGTGATATGACCAAATACTCCTGGTGCTCACCCAGGGCTTATACGTGCTGTGCCAAATTTGACAAATGGAAAACTTGACAACTCATGTGAAATTCAGAGTCAACGACAAAGATAACAGAACCTTGACCTGAATGAAGTGCAACATGTTGTGCATTTTGTCCTCCCTTTCTTTTATTCTTCTAATTACCCACCATCACCATCTGTTATTAAAGATCTAGAGAAACTTTCCTCACTCTCTGCCCCTGCATCTGGTAACCTGTAGCACCCTAACACAAATACACTGTCAAACAAAATGAGTTAATTCAGACCCATTCAAACCAGGCCATAAACTTATTTGTAATATACATATATATGCATATTATGATCATATATATATAATGATCATAAATGTTCTTCCTTGAGCTGTGAAACTCTGCTGTAGTCCGTAATGGACTGGCCTGAGGTCTCGCTACAAACAAGCAGCTGCTAGAAGAGAGTAGATGAGTTGTGTTTAGTCTCTTTGCTAAAGAAATCAGGCAAAGCTAAAGGATGTTTGCTAGGGAGTGCTGTGGCTGGGACCCTATATGTACTGTTGATGAAGTTAGGTGCTGTTCTGAGCATTATTTGGGGCTATAGAGTGGCTTTTTGGTTGAGGTTTGTGTTTGGCTCCTTAGACCGCTGTGCATTGCCATCCTGGGGTTGTTACTAAAGTTGGAATAACTAGAGAAGCAAGTGGTCTGCAACATTCATCTCTTATGGGGTTGTCTAACTTGGTGTTACAGTGTGTTTGACTCTAAACTAATTTTACACTGGAATATCACTTTAATGGGAATTTCTGGGTACTTGGAGCCAGCCTCAAGTGGACATTTAAGGATTTTTTTTTTTGCACTTTTGCATCACAACAGTCAGCATGAAGGGGAAAAGAAATCGTACACAGAACATCCTTTATTTATCTCAGAAACATATGATGTACCAACCTTTAAGCTTTTTAGTCTTTATAAGCAGATACCTTAAGGCCACTCAAGCTTACTCTTTGAAGTTGTTCTCAACTCCAACCATGTTTTCTCTTTTCCAGTTTCTTGTTAAACTGTAAACAATGACGACTCACAGATAATGACATCTTGGTTGGAAATCGTTGATTGTTAAATGCTGGCTGCACTGGAAACCAAAAAATCAGATATCACTTAAGGTGGTAGCTTTGAAAAGCAGGTATTCGTGAGCATGTATGTGAAATATGTGGTCAGAATTGTTAACTCCTCTTCTTTAGTGGAGTGGTTATGTTGTCAGCAGTCAGCCATCCCCTCCTCTTCACCTTCGGCACATCTCACCCAACCACCTTCCCCCCAAAATGCACACAGTAAGGAGGCGTCAGCAGGTTAATTAGCAGGAAGAATATGGTTGGGGGCTTGGAGACAGTGGAGACAAACAGGAGGCGCTTTCTCTTCTTGGCCCTTCCCTCACTGGCAGATGCTTCCGCCGCCGATGCCACGACCCCACTCATCACACTTCTGGAGAGAAAAATCAGACACTCAGAGGGACAAAGAGATAGTTGGAAAAAGAGCAGCTTTGGCCATGCTGTAAATGGCAGATGAAATATTTCTTCTGCCCTGAAAAGGAAATTGTTTTACAGTCATTTATGCTCATAAAGCTGCTCAGTGGATGAGTGTTGGTGTATGGAGCCATCACCATATGGCTTGCTTCCTTTGTGGGGTAGTCTGCTGAGATACAGAGAGGTTTCCCGGCGGTCTTCTCTGCTATAAGACTGGAGCATCTCAAGGTCATTCAGGGGAGAGCATTACAACATGACAACTGAATATTAAGTGATGGAGCATCTGCAGCACTGATGGCTCATGGGGATATGCTTCATGGCAGTAGTAACAAGCCACAGTGAGCTACTATCTAAACAACACGTTTAATATAGCATGTATAGTAAGATCGAAGGATGTGCAGTGTAGCTCGACCACCAATGTTTTCTACTGTCCTTTTAGGGAGGAGCTCGGAGGTGGGCTGTAGGCTGGTGGAGGTCTATGATAGAGTGGCCTCATTACCTAAAGTGAAGGGCAATCTGGCTTCATGTAGAGAAAGAGAAGGAGGGGGAGAAAGTAAGAAAGAAGGAATAAAAAGTGAGAGAGGGAGAAGAGATCAATATGAGAGTAAATGAGCTGTGATCTGTATGTCTTAATTTGGGTATAAAGCTAAGTATTCAACCAACTAGTGGGCATAATGAACAGTTGCTGTTTGTGTGTAAACCACACAATTAGCTAGGAAAAATGAGAGGTTGTCTGCATACAGAGATGTGCAAACCAAAAACACAGTTTTCCTCCCTGATGACCTTGTAGTGCAAATTAAGCCTTTTTCAAGCCAAAGTTTATGAGCTCACATTTTTTTCTATTGCGTTATAACCCAGACTTGCATCTGAGAAGTTTTGGAATGCCATTAAAATTCATTAATAATGACGCTTTTCAATATAATTTCTTAAAATCACTGAGCAAATAGGGTGCTTAATCCAAAAATAACTGATCAGAATTGCAGTCTGTTGAAGGCATGAGTGTACTCCATAAAGAAATGTAATGCCATCTAATGGTAAATTCTTAATTTATTTGGTTTATTCTATAATTTTGTTTTATGTTTCATTTAATCCACTTTTTTTCCTTTCTGTTCCATGCTACTCAACTCCATTCCATTTGATTCTGTTCCATTCCATTCTCTTTGGTTCAACTTAACTTTTTTATTCCATTCATTTATTCCCATTCCATTCCACCTGGAACCTCTGCAGTCAGAGATGGACACAGGGCATGCTGAAATGAATGAGAAACCCTGTTAACTCTTATTCAATCAACAAAGACATTAAAGTTGAGAAGTCAATTCGTTCATTCAGTCAAACACGTGCCAGTTAACTTAAACATTAACCCTCCATTAAAACCTCTTAATCTATGATTCATTAAAAAAACGAACAAAAAAAAAAAAAAAAGAAAAACTGAACACATCCATTAAGATCCACAGATTACTCAAAATCAAACTCAAGTATCAAACTCAAGTGTGAGTTTGACAATTTTGAAGCCTTCATCACAGACGCTCCTGTTTGATAGTAATTTTAGCTGTTATTTGTTTTACATGAGTTAGCATGAACCAGTTCTGTCAGCTCCCAATTTGCTCTGAATTTCTACACACTAACCATATATTGTGATAATACGTTGGCTCTTATTCACAAGCAAACCCACATTATTGGAAAAGATGAGCAAGTGATTGGCAAGAAAAAGAAGCATTTGGACATGGAAATGATGAATGACATGGATGTCTCTGCACAGAGATTAGGAAAAAAAAGCTATGGCAATTTCTGCAGTTCATTCAAAAATATCGTTAATGAGATGGTCCATGGTAGTTCACAGTTACTGAACATCAACTTCTGTTCACAGGAGATGATCAAAATGTTTTTAGAAAACTAAAATGTCTACCATGACAGAGCAACTTATCATCTTGACAATAATCATATCTTAGTGTCTTGAATTCCTGCAAACAAGAATTGATTCTGTGATGGGCATTACCCAGCATAACTGTAAAGGCTCTGTTACATTATCACACACACACACACACACACTCGCACATAAAATGGAAAAGTAAAGCTATACCTCCACGGATAAGGCTCTGTGGATGGAGTAATGGGCTTTCCTGATGGCAAGGGACTATAATATCCTCTAAAGAGGTTAGAGCTGCAGTCTGGAGAATGAAGAATACAGTGAAGAGTGGGGGGTGGAAAATGCCAAGACAGACTGTGAAACACCAGAGACTGGCTCCAGTTTAGCATTTACAGGAAAAAAATTGATGTCTTTGTCTTTCTTTCCTCCCTCTTACTTTTTGTCTCCTCTGTGTTCTCCGTCCTTGCCTGTAAAAATAAAAAAAAGAAAACAGCTCACTTGGCATACTCAGCTCAGAGTAATGATCTGTCCATCATTACTCGGCCAGTGGCCACAACCCAGTCAACCAGAGAAACAGTAGGACGCTGGAGGAAGGGAGAGAGCGAGGGAGGAAGGCAGAAATCTAATGGGAATAATCAATGCCACTGTATCTGATGACTTCATCCGGTCCACCTGTTTGCTTTGATTTAGCAGTTCATAATTCCAGCAGTGAATACAGTAAATACAGCAGTGAATCAATAGGACTATAAAGCATGTAGAAGAGAAGCAGTGTGGTCAGTTGAAGGGTACACTTGGGTGGGATACGAGCGCAGGCGGGCGGGCATGAGAGAGCGATATATGAAGGCGTTCTCATCTCAACTGGTCTCACGCTCTGCTGAACATCATCAGTGTCGAATTACACCCCAAACTGAATCAACACACAGCACACTGCTCAGGACCTGCCTCCACCTGCCCGCAATATCAGTCGTTATCACAGAAAAGAGTGAAAGTCTTCTGAGGTAGATGACTCACACCAGGTCCAGTATATTACTTTTTATAGAGGGTTAAAAATTCAAGATCCAAGGGGTGGGACCATGTTATGGGCAGAAGGCCTCCATCTTCTACCATTGTAAAAAAGTGAAGACAAAATTTTGCCTTAGACATCCTGTGCTTGTGATGTACTCTGGAGTGATCTAGCTGGTGGAGCTCACTGCAGGGTTGACTTCACACCTTTAACCTTAGCACAGATTTAAGTCAGTAATAAAACATCAACGATCTGTCAGGCTGGTACACTGTTTACTCAGTTATTGGAGGTTCAGTACCTTGTGAGTTTGCCTGTGTTTTGTACTTTTACTCATGTTTCATTTATAATAACGAAGAGGGTTGACTTTGAGACCTATACAGCTCCCAGTCACCAGGGGCAGCTGTAAAAATTTTGCTTCGATAAGCAGGAGCTGTTGTGCTGTTAATGTTTTTATTCAGTATATGAATGAGACATTTACATTCCCACTGTTAGACCTCCAGGACTCAAACAGATTTACAATGCGCCTGCCAGAGAAGAGAAAAGAAGAGAAGAAGATTGTTTATTTGACAATTAAATTTGTCTTTAGGGATTCTCAGCAACAAAACATGGAGATTTAAAGTTTCATCCAAAAGGCAACTGAGATTTGAAGTTTTTGTAGCTGTATCGCCTCTTGTCTGAAAGGCTTCTTAAGATCTAGACTGACTGGGACTAGATAAAGAAATCCTAGAGGCTTGAAATATAAGCACAAATACAGAAACCTTTGGGTCAAACCATGATAGGGCAGTTGCTATATACTAGTATTGAGAATTATCAAAACATTGATACTGCGCTAAGATTAATTATGTCCCTTTTTTTCTGTACAGCTCCATTTTTAAAAGTTATTAGGCGGTTCATGTTTTCTATGATTGACACCTGATACAGCCTATGGGTGTACGAAGATTGCGTAGCTCACCCGGGGGGTACACTGTTTGACCCGAGTGTCATCACAGCGACATTTGGTGACTCTCCCACCAAATGCGCACAATGCTACTGCGCAAGTGGTGGAGTGCGTACGACGCTACCGCACAGTGTTGGTTTCAGGAAGTGGAGAAAAAACACAAAAATACCGAGAGCTTTTCGGCTTCAAATCCGTATACTGGTGGAAGGTGGAACCAAGTTGTCCATAGTATATACAGTCTGTGCTGGTACCACTGTGAGTTGTCCTTTATGTTGGCGCTCACAGGTCTTGCAAGGAGAAAGAAGCAGGCTGCAAGCAAACTAGCTGTAATAGCCCTCTGATAAAACACTTATGCAAAACCTGATAACCGCTTTAATTTAGTATCTCTTTGGATTACTGATCAATTCAAATTTGTACTTAATAATAATTCTTACTGTTTTCATTCAGTCCTGGAACAAACTACAACAAACTTACATTTTATGTGTTCCTTTATTTTAAAGTGGGTTTGTATGAATCATACGGTTACATATATCTCATGCTGGTAAATCATGCAAAAATGACCGAGCTTTCTGATGGCAAAAATAAGGCTGTGAAAACTACAGTAATAATAGGGTGTATATTTAAGCTGACATGAGTGTCTGAGTCAGGATTTCTTCGAGTTAGCTCTATTATGTGGCAGAGTTGACCCCAACAGCAGTGCCTGACAGCCCAGCTTCCATGCAGGTCCTCCAGTCTTACATATAACACATGAAGCTCTGCTTAAAAGCTTCCTGAGGCCTTTTTTCATATTCACATGTTCCTGGAGTTGATTAAAAAGCAGGATGGTCATTAAAGGGCCTGATTTTGCTGCCAGTTGAATAGGACGGCACCCTCCTAATGAAAACTCCATCCCCTGACCAAATGACATTTTAAATTGTATAATTTTTTGGCTGTAAATGAAGCAGAGTAATGATGCAGGCTCAATATGGCATCTTCTTTGCATCTAATTTCACAACGGATCAAAACAAGACGAGTGAACACAGACAATGTGGGATCCAAATCTTTTGTGGGGAGCGTTTTTTTTCCCAGCACACTCTGTATGAAGCAGTAAGTCCCTAACCATGCATGGCATTTAGAAAGAATAATAGTAACGTGGTGTGTTCTCCTCGTGAATCTGGGAGCTGATGTGGTACAATTCCATTAGCCGTCCTCCTCCAGCTGAGAGCTCTCTGTCTGTCATTCATCACCAGCTGCAGCACAACACCGAAACAACAGCGATGGAAATTAACTTTCCCCGCCCTGCTCCTCCATTCCTGTCTTTTTCTATCTCACCTTCTTTTTTCCAACTTTCCCCATCATAATTAACCTCTAATTCCTGCAGTTTCTATTCTGTGGGTGAATAACAAATGAGAAACAGTGTCTTCCCATGACATCTGGCCACAAGCTGCTCCCTCTTGATAGTACAATTGCAAAGGGGAAGGGCTGAATATCAATACCAAGAGCAGCCGCTCCAATCCAATCCTCTCAAACTGTAGCAACTGTTTTTTTCATGAAAGTTTTATTCGTATAAGTGATTTCAAATGGCTCTTTGAGAAGCTCGTTTTTCTATGTGTAATTCTCAAACAGGATAGCTCTGTTTGTGGGGGTGGAAACCAAAGTGCCTTTTCACTCTTCCAGCGTGAGGAGCTGCCTGTTTCTTCACGCAGAAGACCACGCAACAGAGTGTAACTCAGTGACAGAGTATCGTCACAAACAGCTCAAGTCAAAACTCTTTAAATTGTCACAGCTCACGCCTGAATCACAGCCCTGTTCTTTTTACTATCCTCTCTTCAATTCACATTTCCTCTTTGTAGTAGTGTTTCTGTCCGTACTCGCCATCTCTCACCTTACTTCTCCCTCCACATATCTGTCCTCTTTCCTCTCAGTGTCCTCCATTAGCTGTTTGAGTGACAGATTTGGTTCGGGGTTCAGACTGTTAGAACCCGGCTCTATTTCACAGGTTTCTGTCTGTTCCAGTTAGGTCACGACTCTGACGGTTACGGTGTGATCTGAGCGCCTGCGCCGCCTCAGTTATGTTGTTTTAGAGTACAGTAAGAGCCTGTCTGGGCGCCTGAAGGCCACATATGCTAGTGTTGCCCCAGGCTGCAGGGATGTCACAGCATATGCAATGAGACGTTCTGCAGACACATAGGCTACAGCCTATTATAGTTAATAGTCCCCACAAGGAAAAGAGCATCACTGACTCCGTTTTTTCACTCTACATAAAAGCTTACCTTTATTGGTCCCTTCAGGATTATGAGGGCTCTTTCTGTGATTGTTACCGCCTAAAATGGCTTATATCTTAAAAAAAGAGAGAATGGAAGTTGTGATGTCTTAAGGCTTTGCTTTCTGTGTATTAGATTGAACATTAACTTTGAGCTACAGGGACAAAGGCTCAAAAGAAGCCATTAGCTAGCTGAGTGTGCTGTTTGTACCCTGACATCATTTCTAGGTGATATTAGTGTGATGATTCGAATCCAAATGTGTTAAACTGAGCTGAAAATGTACATGTTTTACACTGGTTTGACATTGTTTACATGTCATTCCTGTGCTGTGATTGGTTAATAGATACAAAGCACCATTAGGTTACGACATGGAGTATCAGTAACTGCTTTTTCTGTCTCTCTTACCCTTTGTCTTGCTCAGGTGAATTCAGTTCAATGAGCTTTATTGGCCAAAGTATTCATATATTTACAGATGAAATGATAACAATATCAAATGAATATGAAACATATAAAAAAATGAATTACAAAGATGTGAAAGATCTCTCTCTCCCTCTCCGTGTCTCTCTCTCTCAGCAGCTCTAGGTGACTAATATGACTTTTATTTGTATTTTTAATCATTTTAGAGATTTTCAATAAAAAGTATGAAAGTATTATAAATGTGAAAATTTCACTTAGAGCGGAAAATGATGTCTATGTAGTCTGAAGAGCTGTGGCTGTGTATTTATTTTATATTAATGCAGAATAAACCAACTTTAATGTCCAATCATATTACTCCTGGGAATTGTTGGAATAGCAGCTGAAAATGATAAAGTCCACTGATTATCTTTCTGTGTTTAAAAAGCACGGCATACTGGTATACAGAAAAATTTACTCTATATGAATTTGTGTTGTGAGTGTTGTCTCTGTAGACCTAATTTATCAAAGTTTTGTATTACACCTTTTAAGTACAACTGCGGTGTCCAAAAAGTTTAAACACATTGTAAAACGTTGATAAAAATGGAATTTAATAGTTTGAAAATCATTAAAAACCCTTTTATGTATTGAAAATAGCATGAAAACAACA